TCAAAAATCAATTTTTCCTCCAAAATTCCCTACCAAACACACTCTTAAGTTTGCAAAACATGCTCTATATTTCTTTTATGGGTTCTTTTATTAACTCAACTGGAGAGTGGATAGGCTTGCAGTCTTGTCACCTATGCCACTATTTCTAGAAATAATTTGTTTGCAAAACTCTCTTTTACCAAGTCTCCTTGATACATATCACTACAGGTGGCATAGGATATGCTGAGTTTTATATTATATAGATTTATTATTCTTTAATTATCATGAGAGTTTGTATGCATGATCATAGAAAACCCTAGTCCACCAGTAGGACATATAAATATTCAATAAAGCCAATGGTATAAACATGGTTGACAACTACATGTTGTTAAAATTCAAGCCTTTGATATAAAAAAAAAAAAATAGTTTTTAAAATGAATAAATGTGATGTCAATTAACGTTGTCAACAAAGATCGTACAAATAGCATGATTCATAAATATTACAGTCAAATGCTCATTTCACTGCATAATATGATGCAAGCAAGATTTTAAGACGTGGAGATCAAGCCTAAAATCAATGCTTCTAGGTGGAATAAGACATTTCCTTTTCTTGATATTTATTTTAATTATTGTTGACAAATAAATAAATTAATCAATAATGTTTGATCATGGGTAGAGAAAGCTATGTTCCTAGATTGGGTTTGGACTGGGATGAGTTTTTGTTGAACTTATTTTTATTTAAAGTTTTAGTAATGGTTGAGCATTTCGAACTGGACTGTCAAGAAAATTATACTCGCTCAAAAAAAGAAGTCGAGCGTCTTGTTTGCGTAGGTGCGCCTTAAGCTGTCAATGTAGAATTGATTGTTTATTTTTCCATCGAGGTGTAAAGGAGCGGACCTTTTAGAATATTGGATTCAAGAACTAGGTTTGAGGACAAGTTACCCTCATAGTCGTATACGAGTAATATACTCATCGGATTGTTACGGCATTTGTTTCGTTAATATTAATATTAATATTTGATTGGATATATTACAATCTTGTGACTGAAGATATAAATTGAAGAAATACGAGACTTAAAACGATAGAAGAACAAAGAGAATTTGTATTACTTGAATAGTTCAAACAAACTAAGAGGGCAAAATTCTCCTTTTAGTTAGGCCTATGTTATCTCACACGATGAAAAAATGTCTATTAACGTTAACTGCTCATGTGACACGCATTATTTTTTCTAAAATGACAAAATTGTTCAAAAAAAATTTCCTTTGTTTCGGAAAATCAAATGGCACAAGACACAAGTTGAATTTATATTGTTTGAGCCCCATTTTTATCGAAAAAAAAAAAAATCATTTCTAAATAGTGCATTGATAGGAAATATGTGGTTAAAAAATAAGGAAAAATTTTGCGTTTACGTGTACTATTATTTTATTGAATAATGTGTAGTTGAAATGAGATCAAAATAATATTCAATAATACTCAAACAATGGCATAAATAATGCTCTTTTTGGGATTATATCTCTTTCGATTAGATATCATGCGAGTGTCTCTTGACCATTTAACAATTAAATTGACGTTTTCATCCTATGGAATAACAAACGTATCGTGTTAAAAGATCGAAACTTACCCTGAAAATTACAAGAATATTACAAACATCTATATTAATTCGTGGACATGGTTTCAGGAGAAACCAAGGTATCAAGAATTGTATGTTTGGTTTAGTCAATGTTTCATGTTGTAATTCATAAATTCCAGATTCAAAGCCTAACTTTTACTTTTACTTTAAATTATAATTGAAACTACGATTTTAGTTGCTGAAACATGTGCAGTCTTGAACTCATAGAATATTCTTCATAACAAAATTAAATCATTCGTTTTAGGCATACAAAGCTTGACTAAGAATAGTACTAAAAGACCAATATGCTAACGGTTATTGGTGCATATCTCGTGCTTTCAAATTTCTACAAGAAATGTCAAAAAGCTGTACAGGTGAAAATGTGCCGTATATTTTTTTTCCTGTCCATGTGGAGCAGCCATTTTATTTCAACGTTTTAGAACAGTACAAACGAAGAACATATTGTTTTTGTCACTTAATTCCAATGTTTTCGAGAACAAATTTGATATGCCTGTTCATCTGGAAAAGTCGAGAACTGATCTATAGATTCTGGTTCAATTAATGACACGAACTAGCTGTGTACACCAAGAATCGACTCGTGCGACCATATTCGGTTGGTTCACTTCAAAATTTTATTTTTTAAATTTTAATTTTTGTACGACTAAGTCAACGATCTCTATTCAACCAACCCTTCAACCTTTATTTTTTCGTAGATCGGTTCTTTTTCTAATTTTTAGAACATTGTTCAATTCAATTTGTCGTTATCTCAATCGAAATATATGAAGTAATTGGATTCTCAACGATCCCAACAAGTCACATGAATTTGAATTTACTTATCTTATTTCTAACTTAAACAGCTTAAATTGCGATCATTTTTATTAAGGGATGTGCTGGACCCCACCTCATGTGAGGGGTACAGACACCCCTATATACATATATTATGTACATCAAGCACATCTTTTTTATTAACAAGAGTCTTGATACTTGTCGACAATGTCACATACATTATCCAATTCTTAATGGAAAAAACTGTTGGAAAGGAATTTCAAGAAAATATGTTTGAATTGTCTTCACATAGGTGTCAAATCGTACAACAGGTGCACCAAAGTTAATGGTTAAATAAAGAACCTTCATATCTGAAACCCTCTTTTTCTAAACTCTTTATCTTTGAAAGATTCTTAACAAATCAAATAAATCATTATATTAATTTATTTATGTTTGCAGTCAATTTTGGCTCTCTCTAGGTAATTAAGTTGGATTTCTCTTTTGCTTATATTTTTCTTGTGATTGTACCCAAGAGAGGTAAAATTCAGTGCATGAGAAAGGGGCTCTCGGGGTGGGGGCCACCTCCTTGTTAAGGGATAGAATTCTATATCGAATAAAAAAGAAAACATAGACCAATTTATAAAAGTTTGAGTTAATTCTCTTAATAAGGTTGACCTTTTAAGATGGAACCACAATTCTTATCATGATATCAGAGCCCGTTAAGCTCCAACGAGCGATTCGATCCGATTAAGACTTAAAAAAATTGATCACGCAGATTTCAAGATTGGTCTGCTCAAACGAGCCACCATTTTGCGAGGGCATGTTAAGGGATAGAATCTCATATCGAATAAAAATAAAAATATAGATCAATTTATAAAAATTTGAGTTACTCCTTTTAATAAGGTTAACCTTTTAAGATGGAACCCAAATCTTATCACTCCTAATCCTCTTATGTAGTTAATAGATTAAAGGAATTTAGAAGTAATCAATCAATCAAGAAACCAAACCCACCCACTATATGCCAATCTCATAGCCCACCATAGTTTCACATGCTCTCTGCTACAGTAAAAAAATCTCGAATTCAAATTTCGTTTCTATTTATTTATCGAAATAGTACAAGTTTTATGTATTGAACAAAAGAATAAATTTTGGTTAAAGTGAAGCCTTATCAGATTGATGACTTGGATTTGAGCCTCCTTTAGGGAGGGGTGAAAAAAAGGAAGAGAGAATAAGAGTGAGATAATTCCGAACGAAGTGTTTTCTCTCTGGTGAGGTACCTTCTGTCATTCCTATAACTCGTGCCACGTGATTATGAACGTTGACGAAATGCTTAAAGAGAACAGGAAATTATTGTTTTTGGTGGTAGACGAGTGAATAACGCAAAGTAGTTTGATTCGAGAGGAATATAACATGTTAAAAATATCTGCTAATATTATGTTTGATTGAAGAGTTGTTTCTTTAATTGGACGAGGCGATTACACATTAAGATAGTGAAATGCTTGGTGACGGCATGCCTATTTGGAATTCTTCAGTTTGATGACAAAACTATTAGAATAGACTAGAAGAAAAGAAAAGAATTAGAAAAACTAAAGTAGTGGAACTCGTGAGAATGTGAGATTTATTGGTGGAAGAAGTCCACCAGTTTAAGATAATTTAAAGACAATGGAATGACTAGTTCCCAACATGCCCACAAAGCATATAAAAGTGGGACAAAATTCAACACCTGTCCAACTTAAATCAGTATAATTAATTAT